TGCTTTTCTAATTTGTTTTCCAATAGTTTGAGATGTTTTTATGAATCTAAGAAAATGCAAACACATAATATTTGCAAAGCTTATGGTTAATGACATATTGATTTTTTCCCCATCATATATGATAGGATAAAAGACAGAATTAAAAACAAACCAGAAACAACCTGTCCTCTATAAAGAGCATAACAAGTGTAACCACAAATAAACCACAAAAACCACAAAGGGCACAACAGAGAGAGACCCACAAAACAATGGACCAGTCGGCCTGTGCCAGTCTTTTTTACAGAATGCTGTTTTCCCTTCTTAGCGCCTATGTGCTTCTTAAAGGCATGCTGCTCATTTTCCAATCAGAATATGCACATATATATATTTTTTTTAAGTTTTATACCTATATGTATCTATTATTATATAAAATGAATATTTGCTAATTCATTGATTACACACTGCTGAAAAAAATGAACTGGCTGTTTGGTTACAGTTTCCAAAGCTTTATTATTTGCTAAATCCCTGAATGCAAATTTGCCCTACATAATATAAATGATACAAATAAACCAAACATTCACAATTCATTAAAAGTTCATTATTCTTTTTCCCCTTTCCTAGGGACCCTGGTGTCAGATAGAGGAGAAACATTATTTTTGCTTTCTTTTCTTGTATTCGTTTAGAACATAGCAGCCTACTCAAATAAATATATATATACTGTACATGCCACGTGTGTATCCTCAGATAAGGTCTTAGAGTGACTGCTGGCTAGGCCTGCTGTTTTTCCTTCTTACAAAGTGCAGTGCTGCCCCTTTGACCAGTGGCTCTTTGACAAGTGAAGATTAGACTGAAGAACGCTTTTTTCTTTCATTTGGATGTTCTGACAGTCCAACATACTGTAGATACAGCACAGCACCTGCAAACGCTTTCATGCATATATTGAACCAACGTCTTATATGAAAAGGAAGCTGTGACTCTTTATTGTGCCATGACACGCACTCTGCTTTATTGAGCACTGCTCTTCCTTTGACCCCAGTCCCCACTACCAGATCCCAGTATCCTTAAAAAAAGATATGCTGTCCATAAAAGCTGGTATTGTGGGGTTGGTATTTCAGTAAAAACAAAATTACAAAGTCTATAACCCTGCCAAATACAGTTCTGTATACAGTAGTAAGAGTCCATCTGGTTTTGCAGGTCTCTTTAAATCAACAACACCCCCCTAAGAACTGGGGAATACATGCCAATTCTGCCAATTTTTATTTGAATTGTGTCATTAGGAGCTGAATTATAATGATAACCTGTGGACTCAGTGGTCCTCAGGAGTGGAACTGGGCAGTCCTGGTCTAGAGAAAGCACATTTGTTTTACAGTACATGCCAGTACTGGATTTAGGTTTTCTTTAAATACACTCACCCAAACCATTTCCAGTCTGATTTAGCCAGACTGTGCTAATACTCTGATGGACACTTCCAAACTAATAAGGCTGCTTTCTATTTTCCCCTTGCTTACTTTTCAATGTGAATCTTAAGAACATTGTTCTAACACACAACACACAGGTTACTGACTGTCACTAACAATGCAATGTTAAACTAATAGTAATAATAAAACTCCTTCAATATACAAAACAACAGTGTCAAGTTTGCCAATATTCATTTCTTTAAAAGTGTTGCAGTTAGTCACAGCTGTGCATGTGAAATTAAAGAAAAAGTTCAAATATACAGTACACGTTTCTATTTTGCAGTGCTGCATTTACTTTAGTAATATCTTAAAGATTCATCTGTTTATACTGTTCCCTGTCTTGTCAACGTGTTCTGACACTGGAGTAAAGTGAATTGTTAGACACTATAGATGGAAATACAGTCGTTGATGTGCTTGTACAGTACATCAGGGTTATGTGGTTAAACAAGGAACCCCCAATTCAGTGGAGACACCAGATGACCTGACAGTTTTGACATTGGAACTTTTTGGAAATGACCAGTCAAGCTCATGCAACCAATGCTATATTTAAAATATAATCAAATGTCTTAGAAAAGAAGGATACATAGTAGAGATAATCTCAGCACACTAATTCTTTACTGATGAACTAAAACCAGGCATTGGTCATTGAACTGGCTCCTTACTTGTAATATCGAAAGCTTTATTACAGGAAGTTCAATTTCGGAAAAAACATTGTCCAAAGCCTCTTGTGTCTAATATGAAATAAATGATTCACATCAAAACAATATAATATTGCACAGTTGTGTTTCTACATCTTAACCAAACCAGAATCATAATTCACCATATTATAAAAAAAAACTATTTTGGAGCACAGGATATTGCTACTCACATGTATAATGCAATAATGGAATTATCATTTGAATTTAAATTATTAGGAATTTAAAACTACTGGATGTGGGCAATTTGGAATGTACTGTAGGTGTGATCTTGGAGCAAAGTGGAAAGGACTTGTTCCCTAATAAATAATCAAACTTCAATATATTCTCTTTAGCTACAATCTCAAACAAAGGTATTAGTACTCGAAACAATATAATTCACTAGATAGATTGGAATTGCAGAAATAAGTACAGGCAGACCTTGGTAATTCAGTAAGAATCTCTGTCATTGCTTGCTGGGATGGTTCAGTGTAGAATAAACTGCAAAAAGATACCACTCTTAATAAACTTCCATTACTTTAAAGATATTAGTGATTTATATTGTTGCAATCATATGGAAAGATAACTTGACTTCCAATTTCAATTTTTATGTGAAACTGCATTAGGTCAAGATGACTCCAAGCATAGTTGTAAGCATTACAGGATGGATAAAAATAGCTGAGATCCTCCTGTAACTGTAAGAATAGAATTCTGACACCCTACTTGTGTTTTTGTACTGTGCATAAGGAGAACTTGTAGTGGAATGATCTTATACATTAAAGATTATTGAGGTGTCAAATTGGACCAGAGTAATTCAACTACAAAATGAGGTGAGAGCACTACAGTCTTCTCACTTTTAACTGAAACAGGAGACAAAACACAGGTTCCAGATGTGAAGAGAATTGGAATGGAAATTGAAACTGCATGGAAAGACTCAAGTATTTGCCCGCTACAGTGCATTGTATCATTTATCTGTGGTGAAAATACATTGGGTAGACCAATGGAATGTACTATTTTTAAGACAGTTAAAATGCTACAAGTAGAAAAATGAGGAGGATGCCTAACCATAAAACTTAAATTCATTTACAGAAAAATGCTTTAACTTGTTGAAAAGCTCCAGGTCGCAGCATGTACTGAAAGTCCGAAACGGAAGCTACTCAGCTTGAAAAGCCTGAATCTCTCATACTATCAGGGTCACTGGCCAAGAGGTGAACTTCCCTGAAAGAGGCAGCAGCACTCTTTCAGGGAAACAGCAGCAGACTGCTTTCAGAACCCAAACAAAACTAAACAAAATCCTTTTTTCCAGTATGATGCATACAATGTCCCTTGAATAAAAAAACAGCTGAGAAGGACAGTCTTTTATCCAACAGATAAAAGCTTATAGGCTATGGTCTAACATACCTTTTCATTTATATTATACTGCTGTTGTAGCAATTCTGGAAAATTATGAAAAAAAATATTATTGGTATCAGCAGATTTATGATGATGTCATTTTGCACATGGTGTTTCCAAACGCAATGAAATTCCCGACATTTTCCCTGTACCATATGACTTTTCTTTTTAGGTATTTAAAATCCATAAAAATCTGTCTACAAACTTCAGGAATCTCCACTTTATCAGTTAGCAAAGACCAAAACAGAGACATGTGGTAGGATTAACTCTGCAGCATCTGTCATTATTTCACTTGCTAAGATTTAGGTGTCAAGCAAAAATACCAAAATAGAAATGCTTGGAGATAAGAAGAAAACTGCTATTTTTCAGACCTTTCTTCCCCCGCACACTATAGTGTGTAGGAAAATAAAGTAAATTAAAATAGTTCAATTTGATTGCACTTACAAAACTATACTGTATCAAGAAAATATTTGAGAAGCCCCTAAACTGGTCTGTATTCTCATATAATGTACTTTAGACCTAAAATACAATCTGACCCTCATGAAAGTTTTAATAAAAGATAAAGATAATTTGATTATTTGTAACACAGACATAAAACATATTTTAATACACAATTAAACATTAAATATTATACTTGAACCCCTAGATTTTGTTATTTGTGGCACCTACCTTAGCACCAATGCTTTCAACTAGATGTTTCCTGTAATTGTTTATCAGTCTTTCATGAATTTTGACCCATTCTTCCATACAAAACTACTTCAGTTTGGTGAAATTAAAGCTTTCTTTCATGAACAGCTTGCTTCAGGTCCAGCCATAACATTTCAATGGCTTTTAAGTATGGTCTTCGACTTAGCCAAACCTAAAGGTGATTTGTTTTCTTTTTCAGCCATTCTGTTGTAATTGTGATTGTATATTTAGGATCATTGTCTTGCTGCAAGATTTACTTTCTACTCAGCAGACAAATGGATGACCTGACATTCTCCTCCTGAATTTGGTGATACAAGGAATAGATCTTCATTCAAGACTCGCAGCTGTAATTACTGCAGAAGTGTTTTCACCTTGTACTGACTATTGAAAACCTATGAAATCAAACTTTTTTTTTGTTTTTGAATTTTCTTTGCAGTTTTTGCTGATATTTACCCTTTTCATCCATAAATGTGTTTAGTTAGAGCATTTATGTTCTTTTAAAATATTCACTTTAAAAATCGTGTTCACATATCTGTATTTCAACAAAATGTGACATCATTGGAAGGGTGAAAGACTTTTATAAGGCACAGTACATATCTTTTAACAGGGCAAAGATAAAAGTAGGTAGAAGGTAGGCAGTCAGACTGAATCAAATGTATTTCTCATCCCTAGACTTAAAATTAGTCATTCCTGAGCCTTATAATAAAACTTTAAAACCTTTGCTCAACCTTCTTCTGACACATTAGTAACACATAAAAAATTCAGGAAATATAAACAGTCATGGCACGGTAATTAAAGCAGTCAAACAAACCTGGGATCAAGAAGACACTTCAAAAACTGGAACAGCAAATGATCATCCTGGAAAACAGACAGAACAGAAAGTGCTGTCAGACGATTATGCCTTTTAAGTCATAGAAATGCAGCATAAGATGTATGAAGCTGTAAAACATAACAAAAAAAAACATTTTTATTGCAGTCTGAAAAATTATACTGTAATAACAAGTTCTGGAGAAAGAAAATAGAACAAGACATCAAAATGGTGAACATGCTTGAAAAGTCCCATTACCCAGTATGTAGGGTAAGGCAATGTCCTGCTTCCCAATGTTTGTTTACTGGTCTCACCAAGCTGTATAATCTGGTCAAGGTGTAGCTGTGGGGACTTCCACTGTGGCTCAAATATACTTCAAATGTAACAACATTGTATCCCATAAACAACCAGGTTGAACAGCTTTGGAGGGGCTTGCCCAGACTGAGAAATCTACATATTTTATAGAAGTTTGAATCAAGATGCACAAAAAAATGATGAAAATATTACTGTGAGATTCGGCTATACCTAAGAAACCACACTTGGAAGCAGGATGCACAGCTTCACTTGAGAAAGTTCTTGAGTGATCTACAAACCTGAAACAGATTAACTTGCTTGAATAAGGAGAAAAATGACTGCACAGTGTGCAGATCACTTACACAAAGAGTAACCTGAAGTGATCACTTGTATATCTGCATACAGTGTACTGCATATTTTAAGAAATGTACTTTTTTTAAAACACATAGGTAGATATCCAATTGGATGTAAAACAGAATCTTGTGTTTTACATACTGAAGTGAACATATTTTTGCTGAACATATATTTATAAAACATTTTTGAAGGGCTGTAGAGCAGAGGTGGGCAAATGTTTTTGTCCCAAGGGCCACACAACATTTGGAAACTGTACAGCGCCATTTCAGGCTGCTGTTACAGATAGCCTATGCCCTGTATACGTTTAGAATCCAACATAGGCTTATTAGTTCAAAGTTAACAATAACCTGAGAGAAAAAATATTTTAAATATAAAAAAATAAAACTTGAATAAAACTTGGCATTTAACTCACCTATTACCTCGACCTGATGGGTAACTGTACTGCATGATAAACTTATTTTCTCAAATTTGTTCTTGCTCTCTGGACAAAGAATATCTATGGCTTCTATCATACACTCCTTCAAGAGCTCCCCTTCAGAGAGCGGCTTGCTTTGTTTAGCAATTTTATATGCAGGCAGGTAGCTTGCCTTTGTGCTGGCCTCTTGGATAGTACAAGGGCGGAAAAATACATTTTGCTGAGCCTGTAAACTAGCGGCTAGTTTGGAAGCTCTATTAGCCCACTCTTCGCGTGACAGATTGCTAGCATAGTTAGCATGTTTGGTAGAAAAATGCAGACTAAGCTTGTATTCTTTGAACACTGCGACTTTCCTTATAAATTAAACATATAGCCTTTGTTCCAACCTCTGTGAAAAAGTATTCTGCAGTTCATTCTTTGTTGAACACTCGGCATTCACTGTCAACTTTCTGCTTCTTTAATCCGCTCATTTTGGCAGAGGTTCCCTCACAGTACGATGGGCCCACTCTAACTGGGGAATCAAACTGGTAAAGCAGGGGTTCCCAAACCTTTTGGCTCCGTGCTTCCCTTCACCTGTCAAATCTTCCACATGCCTCCCCTGTCAAAAATATGTTTGATGGCAGTGCAATATTTTACAAAAGATTAAAAATTTGAAAAGGAAATGATGGGTCAAAATAAAAACAAAGTTGATCCAATTTTTATTATTTTTTAATCATTTTCAAAACCAATAGGCTTGATCAAAACAGTAAAAACAATTGACACCACATTTTATTGAAATTATTTGAATAATATAATTGTGAACAACTTGTAAAACAAAGTCAACATCTTTGTACAATGCTTAGGTGGCGCGATGCAGTTTGGAATCACTGTGGAAAAACATTAATACGCCATCTAATAGCACGAATAATGAAAGGTAAGAATAAACGGCACCAAAGTGGAATATGGCGAGTATTGACTAATTTGTTTTTTTACCTCAAGGGCCGGTTAAAACTGGCTGGCGGGCCGGATGAAGCTCGTAGGGAGGTAGTTTGCCCACAGGTGGTCTAAAGGAACTGCAGTTAGCTGTTATTACTGCAGTAGGATAGAGGCAGTTCTTGAGTCTAGTGCAGTACCGCTTGCCAGAGCACAGGGAGGAGAACAGTTTGTGGCCAGAATGGCTGGGATCCTGAATGATGGATTGGGCTTTATTGCGACACTGGATGGTGTGTATCTCACTGATTGATGGTAAATCACATCCTACAATCCTCTGTGCCATTGCTACATCCCTTTGTATTGCACCTCTGTTATGCATTGTAGTACATTGTAGCATGCTGTACCACATAGTGATGCCACTAGTGTGCACACTTTCTATGGTGCTGCGGTAAAAGTTCTTCAGGAATTGCTTCCCAATGCCGCATTTCTTTAAAGACAGCAGAAAGTGCAAGAGCTGCTGTTGCTTTCTCTAACTGGCTACAGTGCTGTGAGAAAAAGAGAAGTGGAATACAAAGAGAAGATACAAATACAGAATCCTGTATTGTAGCTAATTCTGTGTAACCAGAAAGACCTGTGTGGGCCTCTGTGTGGGACCTTACTGTAAATGAACCCTTGGTAGTACTAGGGCATTGTGAAACTATGTGCCATTTGAAGCCAATAAGCAACTTAGCTGCCTAGTTATTAGTAACAGATTGGGTCTAGAAAAGAGTTACCCAGAAGCTCAAGGAGGAGCTAGGTGTTTTTTTCTGGGACCACCCATAAAAAGACAGATCACTACGACGCTGAGTCTCTGGGGATGTCACAATTTTATATTACTGTATGCCATCTGTTCTGTATTGCATTTTTTTTATTTGCATGATCAACACTCAATACCAGAAAACTTAGACCTGGCATATCAAGGAATACACATTTTTCTCAGTTAACATCACTTTAAGGATATTATAAAAAGTGTTTTAGACTCCAGTCCTATCCACTCCAACATAAAACAACTTTTATGATGTGAACAGCAAGAGAGAGGGATGTTGTTTCTGGAGCAGGGATCTTCATATCATTAACATCTTCAGACAGACATCACTCATTGATATGACACCTTGATGTGATATGACTCCTTGAAATGTGCAAATTTAATATTTAGATAATCTGGGGAGAACTGCCAAACTGGATACCTAGGGGTACTATAGTGTTTTGAGATCACCAAAGCTGTTTGTATTGTCTTTGGACAAATGAAAGATGTGTTCTCTGACTTTTAAAACTACCTGAACCCTAAAGGAAGTAAATGTTAAGAAATGTGGTATGCTTAAAATAGTGCCACTCATACTTTAAGCATATTTGTACTCCCAAATAAATATGGGCTTGAATAAAATTTGATAACAGGCAAAGAAAATTCAGAAAGTAAACCAGCAAGCACAACTCATGAATATGACATAAACATAGCAAAATAAAGCTGAGCTGCAAATTTGTGACTGACGTTAGAAGATGTGCTCATTAAAACTCAATTTAAACTTTCAAACTATGGAAGAGTTTGTTGATGTACATATCTTTTGTGTGCCTCTATGGTAATGATCCCTCTGTTTTCTAAAAATACTTTGTAGTATATAAGTTCCATTCTGTACGTGCTATCCTCTTCTATACAAAACAAAGCCTTTGTAATTCAAATGGAAAGTTAATTAAGTACACATTTAAAACCTTAAAACATTAGACTCATAAACAAATACTCAATAAAAAATAAGAGTAATCAAAAATGTTTTGCTACGGTGTACAGAAGACTTTTTATATAAATTGTTTACTACATTATCTGGTCAACTAGACCTAATAAACAATTGATTTCATTTAAGGAGCTGTGACTGTAATCTGAATTTTTCACTAGCATGTTTTGAAACTGCACAGGTAGGTTTACAATTTCAGGAAAGTAGGCTCTGAAGGAATGAGACAGTTCTTAAAAGAAGTAGAAAGGGTTGCATAGATGTGGAACAAGCAGAGAATGAATACATTTAAAGGATAATAATAATAATAATAATAAACTTTATTTTATATAGCGCCTTTAAAGGTGGCTTCTCAAAGCGCTTTACAGGATGACAATAACAATAAATAAGAAGACTACAACAATAAATAAGAAAATTTCACAAGACAGGACACAA